GTAGATATTACAACTTTGACTACTAGATGCAGTCAGTGTTGTTTAGGCAGACATAGTAACTTTCCTGTGAAAGATTTTTTGTCAGTAAATCATAGTGTCTATTTTAAAGAACTGACTTTAAATCCAAGGAATGTCTCTATTTCTCAGTTTTCTCAACTGTCAAACAGAAATATTACTCACTTCACGAGCTTTAAGTAAAAATTAAAAAAAAATTATACTATTAGGTACTGGGAACCATGTCTGACACACAGTAAGCATTCAATAAATATTAGATATTGTTATCTATCTACTATCTATGAATATCTCTACCTTAAACCTCAAAGTAGCAGGCAAGGTTTCTTGCAGGGAGAAATAAAACTACATTTGTGTCTCTAAACAAACAAGAAGAGATACTGCTTTTAAGTATATTTTTCTTAGCAGCTTGCAGATAGCAGTAGCTGTTACGAAGCTCACACTCAAGGTCTGTGCTTGTTTCAAAGAAAGCTCGCCATGTGTTGGGAGCTTGGCAGATGACTCAGTTCTGATTCCTTTTATGTCCACTTTCTCTCATTTTACTTCTAAAATGCACGAGCAGCACAGCATCAATTTCTCTCTTCTCCCCCATCTCCATCTCTTCCCTCCCTCCCCACCCCAACACCTTTTCTTTCAGCTCGCACACACACTCGTATCATTTTATTTATTTTTTTTAATCCCCCAGAGGATTCACGGAGCAGTCAGTGTGCAGCTGCCGTGTTTTCCACTGGTTCAATTGGCAATTACCTACTGTGTGGAGTTGCTAGGAGAAGGTGAATAAGCGTGATTACAGCATCATCGGTGTACTTATTCTTTCAATAACAACCTGTGGAGCTCTGCGGTCTGTCTTCTGTACGGCTCTATATGTCATTTTCTCATTGTTGTCATTAATATTTGTTGAATTTATTGTTGAAGCATGGTATATTTTTAATTCTTGATTCCAGATCAATTAAGAGATAGAAATGTTGGCATTTAAAACAGGCACTTTTTTTCTCAGGGTGGTGCTGCTGATTCTGATTCCTGCCATCTGTTTTCATATTACATCCTGCCCTCCTTCCGTTGGTAGAGAGGAATTCAGCTTCTTCTGGTGTGCTAAAGTCATTCACGTTTCTCTTGTGCATAATAGCTCTCATAAACTGTAGGAATTCTGATGTGCTTCAGTGCACGGAACAGTAACAAATGAGCTGCTTTTGGGGAGAGCTGGAGCACTCAGTCGGTCAGTAGTACAGTAGCAGGCTCACATGTGCGGATTGTTCCTGTGAGGTCAGAGGATCTGTTTATACTGCTGTCTGCTTGAGGGGGGTGATGTGATGAGCATTGGATATGCCTGTCAAAATCTATAGCAATTTCGGCAGAGGCTGCCCTCAGCTTTGTAAATCTGCAATGTTTTGATAGATAAGATATGCTACTGTACAACTGTTTAAGATTTGTAGTAGACTGAGGAATGCTTGTTCTAGCTCTGAAACTGACTTTGACTGTACTGCCCTAGGAGTATCACCATGGGGTCTACTGCTACCGAAATCGAAGAATTGGAAAACACCACTTTTAAGTATCTCATAGGAGAACAGACTGAGAAAATGTGGCAACGCCTGAAAGGAATGTGAGTAAGCTCTTTGCTTGGTTCTGTGTTTTTATTTCCCCCCTTCCCCAAATTAGACTATTAACATGATGAATTGTTGATACTTTCTGATTTTGTGGACTAGTGCTTCCTTTAGAAAAAATTTCTTTTAAAAAATAAAACAGGTCACTCCCAGTTAACAACTTGCTTGAAGGATGTATAGTAGTTTGCACTTGCATGTTTTATGTAAACTAAGGTAACTTCTTGAGAATTCACTTCACTGTTGTACTATATGGCTTCTTTTAAACATTCTGCATATGTTATTTAGGTATGTGGTTTAGATATGCAGAAAAGTAACTAGAAAAGCTGCTTGCCAGGGTTCTTGCAGAAATAAAATTTCTCTCAGGTAAAAAGAGAGATTATTACTGGCACTTATTTCTTTGTGATTAGATTTTGAAAAAAACAAGGATGAGATTAATATGATAATAAATATACTCCATTGTTCTTATTCATTATGTCTTAATTAATAATATTTATTTAAGAAAAATATTTGTGTGGTAAAAGTAATAGCAGCATACCAAACTTACCTGAGAGTTTTGGCTTAAATTAACCAATTCACTTCTGAGAGTACAGAGTATCATAGTATAAAATAGACTTCAGTAAGATGGATCAAGAGATGTATTTATGTCAAACATGAAATGTAAGTACCTGAGCCAAACTTTAATTGCAATGCTGTTTACCTTGCTATTTAAACAGCATGTTAAGTTTTTTTCCTGTGTATGTTACTAATTCTTGTTTAGTGTTCCAGCATACTATGTTTACATGCTTTAATTATGTCATACTTTTAAAATCAGATTTAACATTTGGATAAAAATGTGAAATATGAATATTTACAGGCCATTGCAATTGCTTAGCATATTTGCAGACTTCAAATGAACATATATTTGCTTTCCTATGGTAATAGCTGAAGGAATTCTATACTATGAGAAATGGAAATTTTCTAGGATTTGTATTTCTAATGTTGTGTTTACATATTATTGTATAAAATGCAACCTTTGAGTAAATTTAATGTTGCTGTTTTGATTTTTTTAAAGGAAAATTACATCAAACTTTGTTAGGTAAAAATTCCTTCTACTTTCTTCCATTTGAATGTATTTAATGATGTTTATATATTTAAATAGTGCTCTCTATATATTTTCTTACACTTGACATGGCATTCCCGTGCACTGGCGTAAGAGCACAATAATAATACAAGCAACATTTAACAGAGAATAACTTTTAAAAAGGAAGCCATCTTTACATCATTTGAATGAATTAGAGAAATATATTTCCAAGATTCATTGAAGATTTAGAAATTGCAGTTTTTTGTAGATGTGGTTCTCTAGGAAAACAAATAATCCAGTAAAAGCAAATAACAGCTTACAAAATTAATTAGCATAGATGAAAATTAAACATTGGCAGTCATCAGATGATATGTGTTCTAACTTAATGAGTGGATAAACATCTGTACCGGAAAAATTATATCTCATATTACAACCTATTTCAGATTTCCTTCCCTTTAGAAGGACAGGATGGTTTCGGTTTGCTTGTTTTGTTTTGTTTGTCTTTGATTTATTTTTCTGTAGTTACTTGAATGTATGAAGATGTACAGTAGTGAGTTTATACATATACCTTTAAAAAATTTGAAAGGAGAATTTGTGTTTACCTAACATTTTAGGGCAAAGGTATCTAACTTTCACTTTATCAACTGATCTCAAAGATCGACCTGTCATTTTATTTCAGGAGAGGGTGATAGTGTCATTCGGCAGTAGAGCTTCATGACTTGATATTCAACATGGATGTAGAATATAATTACGTATGTGCATATATAAATTTTGAATTGTGTTTACATAGAGCCACTGTATGTCCACATAGAGACATTAAATAACCGAATTACTTATAATAGGGTTTTTTTGAAATAATTATTACTGAACTGATAGAAATGACTGAATGCTTTTGCATCAAAGAAAGAAGAAATTTTTATTTTAGTACTACTATTTTAACTTGTACTTTGACTTAAGACATTTCCAGTATTCTAGGTTTAGAATTGTCAAAACAAGAAGCTCTGTATCTAAAATCTGCATGACTAATGACAACCAAATTGTTTAATTATGGTCTTTTGTGTAGTCTGCGTTCAAAGCAGTGATATGAGGGACTCCTTATTCCATTGCTGAAATTGTCTTGCCTATTTAAAATGTAATATTGACTCAAACAGAATTTTAGCTTCTCAAAATGTCTAGTGCTAGAATTCCACTTCTAAGTATTGGCAATTAAAATCATGTTACTCATGAAAGCTATCAAATAATTTTGCAACAATTTTCTTAGTTTGACAAAAAAGACTTGATGAAGGCCTTTAGATATTTGTTTGCAAAGTGATTTTTTGATCTTTTACTGCAGACTTTTACAAATGCATTGGTTTATTTCAACAGGATAATCTGTTCTTAAGTGGATTTACAATGTACAGATTTTTGAGGTTAAATAAAAATAGAGGCAAAGTTTAGAGTAAAATAAAGTTTATTCTAGTATACCTTAAATATGGAAAACAAGAACCACACCAGGTAGGTATTTACAGAAAATATTTTATAGGCATTTTCCTACAACGTATTACATTAGAACACTTTTCTCAGTCTATAGAAATAATTTTTAAATTTTGTAGCACATGTAAAAACATTGGTAAACTAAATTGAACTAAATTCTTCTCTACCATTTTGTTGATTTCTTTCATTGAGCTCTTTTTAAATCTCCTTCATGTAATATTTAAGTGAGACACCATATACAGTGATATGCTAAGAAATCTGTTATTCCTTTATGGGAACAAAGGTGGAACACTTTTCTCTTCCCATTTCTGATGTAGACTTGTGCTTTGTTCTATTAATTTTCTTTTTATAGTTACGGCTTTTTTCTTTAGCTTTCTTCAATCCATCTTCTACCACTAATTTGTCACTCAGTGTGACAATTTATATTCTACACAATGACTCACCATCTATGACGGTAGAAGTGTTAGCAAATGACTATGGCATCATGTCCTTCATAAACTACATTTTGAAAGAATCATGTACTTGTCCATAAGTTATCAATTGTTTAGGATTTGGAAAACACTTCCTATTTCTTCTGCCATCTCAATACCTGATGAAATTTCTCATTTGGAAGTTTCCTGTGACTCTGGGATTTATAATATTTCCTACATACTGAGAACATTTTTCTAACACTGGTCTTTGCAAAGATTGTTAAGTTTACTGATTCCCATGAAGAAAGTTGATTTGAACACCTTATATTTATTTTCATTTATGCGTAGTAGTTTTTTTTCATTTAAAAAATAATCCTTTTTTTTGTGTCATGATTTTTTTTTTGTTTTTTGTTTTATGGTCTTTAAATGTAATAAGGGCTCTTCCTCTGTGGATTAAAAGAAATCAAATATATTTTAAAACATTGGTGCTGCTCTTTCTAGTCAGTGCCACTGTTGTAAGAGTTTGATCTAAGGGGCTACAGTATTTCCAGAAAACTGTAATCAAGTAGAAATATCAGGGAAAACCACCTGGTGTTATAGTAAAAACTGAATCAGTGTTATCCTACTCAGTTTTTCAGCAGAAGAGAGGGAAGTTTGAATTGCTCAAAACTATAAACTATTGACAAAAATGTGAGACTCACCACCATAGTACTTAACTGCCAGTATCTTCAGTTTTTATAAGGGTAAGACTATGGGGATTTCACAGTTAAAGCCTAACTGAATATATGATAATTGATTATAAATGTATAGACACATACCTCTTTAATCTCTCCTAATCCAGATGAATATATAGATTTTAAGATCTGAAATAGTGAATGTAACAGTTGAAAGACTTAAGCTTCTTTTCTCATTTTTCCCTCTTTGATTGGTGGTAAACATGATCTTCAGTAGTCGAAGGATGAAATGTAGAGGAGCAGAAAGTGAAGGAGAAGGAGGAACTGTATAATAACCCTATAACTAATTTCAATTTGGTGTTATTGTAGAGGGCATTGTGTTGTACAGTTCTCAGATAAAGTAGCCCAAACCCTCATCACCAAGAAAATGTAGCAGAAATACATATTTAGAATAAAAATTGGCAAAAAGATAAAATGACAGGAGTTATTAGCACCATGTTCCCAAAGTAGAATCGTACTTTAGGATGGAGCATCATTATAGATCAGACGCAAATAAATCTGATACTTTTACTCTCTGCTTCGAACTCTTTAAAGCCTTCTAGTGTCCTTCCTTCAAAGTCCAGCATCCTTCACAGGTCTCCCGATACCTCCTCAACTTTTCCTTCCCAACCAAGCCCAAGGTGCCCCCAAAGAAATGCTGCTTACCTTCCATCTGCCTTTGCTCATTATGTCCTCTTTTTTGGAGGGAACCATTCCTTTCTCCTCTCTCAGCTAGTTGCTTTTGCTTCCCAGGAGTCTTTTAGAGATGTGTGGGGATGTAGCTGGTTGTTTCAGTGCCTGAGGGTGTTTTTGTATTTGGTAAACAACAAGGTTCAGGCATGATAACTGTCTTCTGATTATCAGGAAGAATTACCCTACTCAAAATTCTAATAGAGACCCAGTTAAGAAATGCTGAAAGATCTCTTCTTAAACTTCACTTGCAAAGGAAATCATTCCTGACCCTCCATACTAGGTTAGTTTCCTATATTTGGCTCATTAAGTAACCTGGACTTCCCTTTTCATGATACACTCTACTGTCCTCATAAGCTACTGCAGACAAGGACTATGTTCACTGTGTTTGGTTGTGGATCCCCAGACCCTAGCATAATAAGTGGCATATAGAAGACAATGCAATCAATATTTTTTAATCATTCAATGAAAGGATAAAATTCTGCATCTTACAGTGGTGCCAACTACAAAATTGGATCAGTCAGACTACCAAAATAGGGTCCAAAGCTAGGATGGAGGAGTCGAGACAAATTCATAGCTGGATTAGGAATGAAGATGATGGAAGGAAGCAGTTTGTTTATTGTTTACTAGTTGTCAGAACTTTCTGGATATAA